ATTTGGTGTATATCTTTTGTCATACTGAGGCGATGTTGGAGGTAACTGCAGTGGATGAAATATATCTTCCAGTGATCTAGTTTCATATAATAGATAGTTAATATGGTGCTGTCCCGGAGCCTCATTGTAATCTGAACATGAAACACGTGAAAGAGGCGCCAAAAAATTTATTGCCAAAAAACTCAAAGACTTTTTTGCCAATAAAACATTCTGTTTTTCGTGCTCTATCGATTAACATACAGTATGACCTGGTTAGACAATATTTCCTTCACAAAACTATAGAAAATTGACGAAAAATCCATGTTTTATATAGAAAATCGATGAAAAACCCCTTGTTTTATGGGGGCACACAGGGAAAAGTCTTTTGAGTTTTTGCAATAAATTTTTTGGCGCCTCTTTCACGTCGGTTGGTCATGTTCATATAATAGATAGTATATTAGAATGTGAGTGGAACAAAAAAGCGTGGCTTTTTCTACCGATCATCTGAAGATCCTCAAAATGATGGCCGCCAGTCCGTAACATCAGTAGGACAGCCAACACTAACAAGGGTGTCTTCCAGGTCGTGGAATCGTACAGTCGAAACGAATTACACTCTTGTGGTCTCCACATGTACCTTTGCAGCATGCAACAAACGGTTTCGAAAATGGGCTCCACTAACTGAAAGAACCCTTTTGTAGGAGCGATGGGTGATGTGGATTTCTTATGTAATTTCCAAGACTATATGTTACACTTACTGTCTTGCAGCGGGAGCAACTAGTTCTGCTCATCTTGTCACAGCAAGGAATAAAGTAGTATTTGGCTTCATCGCCCAACTCTTCCGTTCTTGCCCTCTCACTGAGGGTCAGCTCTACGGCTTTTTGTGCCATTGCCTGCAGCACTCCCTAATTTTAAAGCGCCGTCGCAGCGTTAGTCTATGTCGGCGGCAAACAGAATCTTCTTGCATGTTTTGAATTAGTCTTAACGTGATAACTGCTGTTTAGCGCAACAGTTCGCGCTCCAAAGCTATCACAAGAACGCTGCGCTATGGGGCAAAAGTCAGGCCACCAGATGGGGCTCAAAACCGTAGCTTTCGCCGGGACCTCTTTTACTCGCTGAATTTGCCCATAACTCAGCGTTTTCAAGTTTGCCATCACAAACTGCGGCGTTAAACAGCAGTCATCACTTCAAAAAAGCTTTAAACTGTAGAGTCACTTTTTCCTGTTGTTGTTGCTCAGTGTTTGTTTTAATAATTGGTCTCGTTTCCTTACCAATGTTGCTTTACTAGTTCTTGTGTTTTTTTCTAGAAGACATTAATTGACTTGATTAGTTCAAACCGCTGTTTTCAAATCTTATTTCAGAGCTGTCTGTGGGATGGGGTCACTTTGATTTTTCTCCTTTTTAGAGTGAAGAGATTTTCTAAAGATGTAGTCACCAACTGTTTGAAGTTTTTTAATAAAATAAATGGAACGTTTGTCATTTGCTTGTCTTTTTTAGCTTATAAGATGTTTCCGAAGAGAACGATCCATGGTTCTCGTAGATATAGTATACTAGTGTAGATATGTTTCAGTGATGGTTTCAGCACAACGCTTTATAATCTATGTCAAGAGTCCTACACTTATGATTTCAGCGGCTGCACGACTTTTGCATAGTTGGCATATTCGCCATGAAAGGCTTCAGCCTCTTCAATAACTGCGCTTGGCATCATACAGTACAGCCCAGATCGTGGACCGCGTTCAGACTTCGTGATCGCGCGGTTGGATCGCCTGATTGGATCGCGCCATTGCGACGGAGGGCGCCATACCGCCAAGTGATGCCGCTGCCGCAAGGTCTTAGGAACAATTAATCCGTTTTTTTCTCTGCGTCTCGCTCTCGAGGCCGGCACCAGACGGGAGAGCACGCTGCGGTCAGGCACGCAGAGTGACTCACCAACTTGAAGAACGGTCAGCCTGCTTTCAACGTGAGCAGGGTGATATTGAGAAAATTGGTGAAGGCTAAGCTATTCAATAGAAAACGAAGATAGCGTTAGATATCAGCACACTTCTACACCAAGTACTAGTGTTCTGATACTTGAGTACTAGTAGTGTAATACTTGACCAAAATGAAGTGAGGGAAGTCATCACGGTTATTCGAAACACTCCTCCACGAAGATAATTAATGTGAACACAAGTGAGAAAAAAGAATTTACAGAAAAGGTGATTTTTTCTAGCTTTTTTTTCCGCTGAGCTTCTGGGCAGTCCGGAAAGGTGCTAAAGAAATGTTTCACGAGTTCACGATGAGCTCGTGTCGATAGAAAACACTTCTGTTTTTTGCACGAGAGATTCGAGTGGGCTTTCTTTAACCTCCCCAAAAGTCACTAGTAATTCACTGCAGTACCGTACGTTCCCAATGAGTCGAATTTCGAAAAAGAAACCAGCGGTTATCGTCAGAAGAACTTAAATGCCAAACGAACATTTCACATCAGCGAGGGGCGAACGGTCGCGTCGCGGTCATTGCGCTGGAGCGCTTTGAATGTGGCGGGAGCAGCTGAGTGCTCCTTTGGATTTTGCAATTCATGGTGACGTGCTAGAGTGATCACGTTATCATTATCGTCAGTGAGGCCGCGTTTGTACGCGCAGTTTCCGCGGAATCGCGAACTCCGCAGATCGTGCGGAATCTGTATTCCACGTGTAAATTAGAAGTTGAAACATGCAGTGTTTGATATTCCAGAAGGTGAATGAATAGTTTCACATATCCGTTCGCAGACCATTCATGGAGTCACTTAGACATGAGGTACAATCATAGACCACTCACGCGCTATTCAGTAAGAAGCGTACATGGATTTTAAAGCCCCTGTCGTACGGAACCTTATGTCGGGTTTTTTTCTGAGTTTTTAGAATTCTTCATGAGCAAAAACAGAAATTTCGAAGACGTAAATCTAGTGCGACAGGGTTAATGAGTACTTCAGAAGGGTGAAGTGCTGACAAAGGAGGTGCGTGGTAGTTCACCTTAGTACTGAAGGCAAAGATGACGACGAAATATATCTTTATCTCTATGTGATAACAAGAATCCTAGAAACACCAATGCTAGAGCAAGTGAGTGGGTGCAATAAGCTCCAGGAAATCAGTATTGTGTTGTAACACAGACATTCGTGATGTGGCGCCCTAAACGAGTTCGGGTGTGATCGCAATTTCCTTAATTCGAGGATAAACTGATCGTTACGGTTAGCAACGTGGGTATAGAAGTGTCTGTGGGAAACTTCTGAGATTCCAGGAAACTAGAAGGAAGTCCTGTAAAATTCCCTGATCTGAAGTATGTTTCAGGGTTTCATAGCTCTCGATTCATTTCCTCCAAATAAAGTGATATTCTCATTCCACGAATGTCTCTATCAGATTACAGGTTCATGACTCCTATCTGAAGGTGTGTAGCGGTTTTGAATACAAAGAGTTTTAGGCTATACATATTTATTATAATAACATCAAAGAAAGGGGAAGGGAACTTGGACGGGAGTGGAAGACGGTCGGGGGTGGACCGTCACATCGTGAGTACTCACTACCACTGTGTCTACTCTCGTCCTCCAGTTGCCTTGCGCCAGCTTCCTGCGATACCGTAATCTCGGGCCACGCCCATCCAGGTCGTGGACCCGACATCTCCATTCCTTCAGAGTGAGCTCGTCCTCGAGCTCCAGCATATGACATTCCAATGTCCTCAGATGTATTGAGGTAAAATACATGTTGAACTGTTGAACGATCCAAATGATAGATTAATGGATAAATGCAGGTGAGGTCAGAGAGTTACCGGAAAGATAACTACGTCTTCGCTCACAACAGTGCTGTCGTTCAACAACACTGGGAAACATACAATAGTATATGTAGTATGGAAACATACATACAATAAAAAAATAGTATTAACTTCTTCAGAAAAAGTTCATTAGGAAGCTTTACAAAACCGATTCGATAAAATATATTTCGGAAGTTGTAGGGAGCTCAACCGAACGCATTAGATTCACAGGAAAGACGCATTCGAATTAGAAAGTGAACGATATACTCAAATCATTGATAAATGATGCTCACCCAGCAGACTCAGCGCTCCACTAACAAAACGTGACCCAATCAAGCCACGCGCGAAACTGTGGAGTTCAAATGTTCAGTTACGTTTCAAGTCAATCTTCAGTGAATTTCACTCGATATTATGGTAACAATCGAAAATGTCGATAAATGTATGCTTGCGACGATTAAACATGATAAGCGAGATGTTAAGCTCGTTCACGTTTGACCTTCATTCACAAGCCCATTTCTAGGTTTCATCGACATTGAATGTTCGCATAGATATTTTGTAAGACTTCTCTATTAAAAGTAAAGAGACGTTCCTCATTCATATAGAGTGAGGTGGAACCCTTGTCACGTTGTGATAAATTCTGTGTTCATGTTCATAGCCAGTAGACCTTATCTGCCCCATACATCATTGAGTTACATTGTGCAACACTTTTTAAAGGTTGGATTTTGATCTGAATTTTGAAGTCCATTTTTTGTTGCAGCTCATTGCAGTCAACCTTATGATCGTGATTTGCGGATGATTTCTACCTTCTTATGAATGAGAAAGTATCTTTCGATTTTTCTCAATGACACCAGTACTGGTGGACGTGCTGTTAAAGGCACGCCCCGCGTTCGAAAATTTCGATTTCTGCGGCTCAGACACTAGTGACAAAACGGAAAGTAATACAAAAGTAAAGAAAAAAAATACTAAAACACGCCTGAAATACCCCATGTAAAGCCCAGTACTGGACCGCGCTCATACAAGCATAAGTCGGAGTAATAAAGGAGAGCTCGTCCAGGGTGGTCGGACGAGCTCTCCTTCATTACTGCCAGCTCTTTCTCCTTATCACCTTTGTCACCGTTCGAATTGCCAAGGACTAGCACCGGAACAACCACAACATTAGGTTGTAGGTGAAAACCAAAGTTGGAGGTCGCTCTAGCCAGTGGGCGGAGCAGTGGTTTCTTCGAATGGTCGGCGCTTCCTCACGTATTTTTGAGCTACGAAAGTAGTACATCCTCCATGCTAGCAGGCAGGAGTACCTGTCCAAAGAAGGCACCCGAACATAAAAAGAGCGCGGGGCGTCCTTTAAGCTGTTTGTTATTTCTTGCCTATTCTATCTGCCTTGCCCACTTAGCTTTTGGTTTTGTCAGCCACTCACAGAGTGCACATGTTTGAACTGATGGCAACTTTTTTTGCATTCGAGCTGGCTGCCCCTATATGCGCTTAAATTCAGGGAAATAATGGCGTCAATTGCCGATCTGGTTGACTTTCTTCGCACAGAATTTTCTTCATTGGAAGAAATCACCGAAGAGTATGCGTCGTCGAGGTACGATTTACTGAATGGATACTCTCAAATGTGATCTACAGTCTAGTTCGGTACGGACGAAGGGGCGTGTCAGGCGGGATGAATTTGGTGCGGTTTCAGACCTGTTCTCACGAGTCGTTGAAGAGAGCAAGGACAAAACTGTACTACGTCGTTCGTATCACTCGTTTTCTACGAACTGTTGTCGCATACTCACTTCAAGCAACTGGTGGAGCAACTGGCGGCATGAGCTTGGCGGGTTTGGCACCGCGCCAAGCTCATGCCGCCTGACACGCCCCTTCATCCGCAGGGAACTTGACTGTACTTTCCGCATAAAATGTTCAAATGGATATTCCAGTGTCGAAGGGAATTACACAGACTTCCCTGCTATCTCGTCCCTTTTAACCCCATCGTTCTATGAAGATGGTAGTGCTACGTTACGCCTTAGGCAACGTATGTTGCGCCATTACTCCTAGTCCTATTCGTGCTGTATCTCTCCTTTCAACATTATTTGTACTATTTTTATCTAGTGCTCACGAAGTTGGCAAAATTCGAAGAAGAATGCGATGATCCAGAAGTATGGGTTGAACTAACAAATGCCGATATATCCGGCCGACAACTTTGTGTGCTACTTTGGTATTCTTTGGAATGGGCTCTCGCTAAAAATAGGTACCATTCCATTTCTACTGGCTTCAAAAAAGCTCAGAAGTTTGCTCACTTCCAAATGAACTTTACTTTTCAGTACATTCGAACTGGTAGAGCGAGGAGCTCTAGCAGCCTGTGCTTACCTTCACCTTGCCAGTATAAAGGGCTCAAAAGCTTATCGTATTTTCAATCCCTATCTTTATCAGGTAACTTTTATTCATTTTAATTATTCATTTTTTTGCATGTGGCTTCCCTTTTCTTCTCCCTCTGCACATTGTATTGTATAGCATTCCGTTTAACTAGTCAATAGCTTCTTGGATGGACTTGTTTTTAGACAGCACATCTTGCCTTCAAAGCACTGGGCACGGTCGCTGGGGGCGGGTAGTTGTCGCCGTCGTCATTGATGTAAGGACTGCGAGGAGGCGTCTGGCCCTTCCACCAGTGACGTGGCGACAACTGCGCGCCCCAGCAGTCATACACACAGCCTTCAGATTCGCCGCTTTTGTGATGACACCGAAACCAACAAGTGCTGCTGAACAGCTTTTAACGGAACTTAGAACAATTCAAAGAGTAGTCTAAAAAACTGGTTACTATTCTAGAAATGTCTGCAAGTGTTCCGTTCCTTATACCGATGCCTATCGTTTGACTGTCGTGAAGCTGGTTCACAAGCCAAAGGAAAGGGAAAGTCAAAAAAGAAACAGCAAGAAGAGATGGACGTTGCAGAAGCTGAAGGGGAAGGTACTAAAACTTGTTGAAATCCTTGTTCCTCGTCCGCACTAAAGCAAGTTCAGAAGAAGTTGATATTGCCACAACTTTTGATAAAGAAGAGGTAAAGCATCTTTTTGAGGATGCCAGTGAGGCGCTATTCGTGCTGCTAGGTAAAGGTAAGTTACTGTGATTACTGTGCTCACATGTAGTTAAATGATACCAGTTTCTACAGTTCCGCTAGCGAGTTATTTTGAAATTCCCTTGATGACGACAATGCTTGTACGGGATATGGCAAGGATAGACTGCGGTACAGATACTAAAGTCGATATTGTGGAAAATTCCAAAGAATTCAAGAAGTTACGCAAGTTGAGCTCTCGCTCTTTCGCTCTGATGCACCGACTTATCGAAAGTCGCCATACCTACGGTGGCTACCTGGTTCGTTCTGCGGTTCTTCTCGCGAGTGGGAACTATTGCTGGAGGCGGACGGTTACTATCAGCATCATTGGTGAAAGGGCTGCGAGAGGGCGTTTGCTCACGCTCCAATCAGCTTTTCCACCAATGACGTTGGTCGCGACCGCCTGCCCCTAGCCATCGTGCCCACCGCTATTGGGGTGGCTTCAGTATTGCTTGTCATTTTCCAGGTCATTTCCCGTATAGTGTATCCGCGCTTGGCATTCTGGACCTTTGAGTATGATGTGATCCCATCATCACAAGTTATACCAACGATGTTCACCACCTGGAGAGATCTCATGGTGAAATTCATCAAAATCCGCATTGAACTCGGCAATGCTCTAGAGCTGCGCCACATTTTTGCGGTCAGTGCATGTTTTTGTAGAGCTTTTCTCTAACAGAGTACTGATCAAAGAATCACCTCAGAACTGCTTACTTTTTTGGGGTATGTGACAAGACAACCGTAATTCGCCGCGCTGGTGGGCGTCGCATAAGACCTTGCGCCTACAAATGACGATGTTTCCAGGTCGGGACAATAGACATGAAAAAAAGCAATAATTACCTGTGATGTTGTCGTCTATTTCAAATTCCGTGCTCCCGTAAGATAGGCCACCGCCCGCTGATTTCAAAAACGCGTTAAAAAAACAGCGGCAAGCTACGATTGTCTTGACCGTCTCACCTTTTTTGTATGTTGGGGTTCTTTGTATTATTTCTTCATTTCATTCGGGATATTCAACTGAAAAGAAATGTTTTGCACCGACTAACTGTTCAAATGCTGCACAGGAATATGATGGGTCAGAGGTTCCATAGTTCCCAGTCTCCTGCACAGCTTCCGCGCTCGTACGTTTTCCTATAGTCTTTTCGGCTTTTCTACTATTTCACTGTGAAGGTTCGAGGTGTAGTTTAGGACATTCTAGGCGTGGTGTGGGCGGTGACAAATTCGGGGCTACGGATGCGGCCAGTACCAGCAGGGCTGATTGAATCAGCGTAGCAGTAGCGCATTGCATCCAGTCTAGCTAGCAAGTAATTTGCTAGCTTGAGCACAGCAGCTTGTATGTCCTGACCTACCTAATTCGTCGCAGGTTGTCTTCAAACCCTGTGAGCATATGCCCCTATCAACGCAGCCGCTGCCGTCTGTGTTGTCATCCTCGCGTACCCGTTAAGGACTGTTGACTACCTCGTCGAATCCCACCGGCGTAGAAATATAACCTCAAACTTTTAACCATTGCGCTATCCTGCCTGAGCAACTTGTAAATCATTCACAAAACATTTCG